CGTATCGCATTCGCGTATCACGAAAAACGGGGCCGTGACATCTCTCAGGCTTCTCTCTGGTAGTAACTAGATTCCCGCGTTCCGTTCCGTCTGTTTTGATTGCCTTATATTACATGGAGCAGATTTTGAGCGGAAAAACGGAACGGAAAATTATAAGGTAGTCATTTTTAACGATATTCATTGATTAAAACCGTAAGGAGAATAATGAACTGTGATTGGTCAATCTCTTCCGACACGATTTACGACATCCAATGTAGACCCAGCCTAATACAAATTACAATTAATTAAGTGAAAACAATGTTAAAAAATAAATAATGTCTATTTGTCGCGCCCCATGATTTAATGGCACCTTAAGGGCGACACGTCCCATGGAGCGGAATACGCGAAAGCGGAATCAGCAGATCGCCAATCACAAGATCATTCTGATAAAGCCCTTGGACTTGTGATTGGCGATCCGCTGATTCCTCTTTGCGTATTCCTCTCCATGGGACGTCGCCCTAAATACGATGGTACTTCTTCTTTCTTCCGCAACGCGGCGCGCAGATAGAAAAATTAATCGTACGATTTCTCGTCTACAATCCGCCAACCACTGCTCCTTCCCTGTCGGAGCCTCTTTGGTTTCACTGACCTCGAGTGCCAGAGTGTGCTAGAGTCTCCGTTAAAGCATCCTACGTCGGTTACGAACCCCCAGGCAGAAGAGGTTGTTCTACGATTTCTACGTGCTTCGAAGTAAGTAGCGCGACCAGCGAGAGACTTCGCCCGCCACAAGTCGGTGGATTTTTTCCGAGTGCGCTTCGCCGGATTCTCTCGAGTTATATTTTAATGGCATCGGCCATCATCGTGGTCACGCACCGCGCGCGGTCTTAACCTCCCTCTGATTCTGCCGTTCTGTCGTCACGTACGCGATCCGCTGGCCTTGCACGTCACGGACCCCCGACAATAACGCGTAGACGAATCCCGCTGCCGCCATTTGTCAAGGATTACGCCTACTGATCCCGAAATTGAGCGTTGCGACACGTCGCGATTGTGCATACATTTTTCTGATATCTTGCGTGCCTACGAACTCGCGTTAAGAAATTTACGATTTAATCACGTGGACAGGGACCTCTGCGCTTGCGGGTTTCTTGAGAATTTTTCAGCGTTTCGCAATCGTTCGTAATTTAACGTCTTTCGAGAAATTTTATGTGGAGACAAATAGTCTTGTCGAACTATATTGATCTGTATGTTCTTTTCAGAAGAGTATTGTATGAGTCAAAAAATAGAAAAACCGATACTATCAGGTCAACGTATAAAGACCAGAAAAAGAGGTAAAAGATAGACATTGTTTCTTAAGTCACGGAAGCAAGTCTTCAGGGTGTTAATTGGCGAAAGTCGTTGCTTGCAGATGAAAGAGAAAAATATGATCCGACTGGATTTCGGGATGCAGTCTTGCTTGGTTTGGAGAAAGCTGACAACGACTTAGAAGCAATTTCTAAATTTCTGGACGCGGCTGGTTCCAAGTTAGATTATCGTCGGTATGGGGAGGCACTATTTGACATCATGATAGCCGGGGGCCTCCTGGTTCCTGGCGGTTCCATTGCTCAAGATGGCGACAAACCGGTTAAAACCAGTGCATGTGTTTTTGAGCAGCCAGAGGACATAGAGTCCATGCGGAATTTTGAACAGGTGAACAAAATCGAACCTTCCATTCGATGTCTTTTTTTCATACCGGCCTTTAGGATATGAAATTGACTTGTCTTGAAATGAAAACTGTCTTGTTCGATTAAACAGGTCTTTATCAAGCTTATGCGGCGTTACAAATATCTGGAGAAGATGTTCGAGGAAGAAATGAAGAAGGTGTTGGTTTTCATGAAAGGATTTTCACCTAAAGAAAGAATTAAGCTGGCTAGGATGACGGCACTGTGGATCTCAAACGGTTCTGTACCGCCCACGGTCCTCTCGGTCTTGATTAATGAGCATCTTGTTAAGGATAACTTGGCATTAGACTTCCTACTGGAGGTCTTTGTCACTTGGAAACAGGAAAAAGGTTTATCTAGTTTAATGACTGCTCTGAAGAGAGGAGGTATCGAGGGAAGGTAAAGTTGATATATCAATGTGCTTAATAATTATCTATTACATGAGTTAGAGAACGAAATTTTCTAAATATTCCCCGCTAACCGATTTACTCGCTTCTCCTGTTTATGCGATTCCTTTTGTTTGTTTTAGGTTGATGGAGTTTGTACCTCCAAATAAACGGACGGAGGAGCACTTCCGCTCTGTATTCGAAGCAGTAGGCCTGGCGGATATCGTCAAGTTGCACAAGGCTCAGGCCAGTCAGGAAGCCAAGCGGGATCTACAACAACTTCTTTTGGATGACTTAGCGGAAAATAGGCCAATGAAGGACATTACATTAGACCTTAAAGAAATGGCACAAAGGAGCTGCATTCCCGAACACGAAGTGATTGGATTGGTAAGTCTTTCCTCCGTGTGTGCGCGTGTGTGTGTATTTAAATGCAACCCGCAAGTATATCAGGAGTAACGTTTGCTGCCATTTACAGATTTGGGTTGTTGTAATGGGCCAAGCCGAATGGAACAAAAAGGAAGAGTTAGTCGCTGAACAAGCACTGAAACATCTAAAAGTTTATACTTCACTGTTCGGTGCTTTTACAACCACTGCCAGATCTGAGCTCGCACTTATCCTCAAGGTCCAGGAGTTCTGTTATGAGAACATGAATTTTATGAAAGTCTTCCAGAAGATTGTTTTACTCTTTTATAAAAGTATGTGTACAATATATAATTTACAGAATAATGCGAACAATGTTCAGGATGTTTCCACGAAGGCTAGCAATCTCGTCGACTTGTAAAGTAGGTAAAAAAACCCTCGAGTTCCTATAAAAAAAATTTGTTTAAATATTATTTAAATGAGTTTCTCGAAAAATCGTTGGCTTTTACAAAGTGAAATACAAGTACCTTTATTTTTCTAAAAAAAAAGTGCAGTATCTAAACACATTGTGAAATTAAAAAGAACGTATCAACTTTGAAAAGTTTTGTAGATTAGAAAGGTTAAAAGTTCTTGAACCTCTTTGACCTAGTATCAAGAACCTTATCACATTATTTTAAAGATCTTTACTAAATATAAAAATTTGAACAGTAATAAAAGTTATTTAAGAATATTAAAAAAATGTGTTAACTTTGAAGACAAATATCTCGGTAAAGAAATGTTATAAAAAATATAGTAACTTGTGGGTTTTTTTTACGTACTCTACAAGTCCACGAGATTGCTAGCCTTTACAGGAACACTGCATACATATATGTATATGCTATAGATATGTAATGGAGATTGTGTACATAATTGAATATTACTTGAAATATTATTGTTACAACTCGAATGAAATGTTTGATTTAACTTTTAGCGGAAGTTGTGTCGGAAGATGTAATATTGAAGTGGTACAAAGAGGGTCATTCAGTGAAAGGAAAAATGCTCTTTCTAGACCAAATGAAAAAATTCATAGAATGGCTACAGAACGCTGAGGAAGAATCCGAATCAGGAGAAGAAGAAGATTAGAAACATTCAAGTAATTTCTCTTTACAAAATTTTATGCAAGGTGTACGACAAACTTTACAATTCACATGTAACTACTGCGACTGCATTTTAAGACGTTATTTTCTGTATAGGAAAACGCATCATTGCCAGTGAGAAGAAACGACATAGTCCCAAAATTTCGAGACAGATCAAGAACAATATCAGTCAGAAAGAGAACGCCACGGACTCTTGAAAATATACAATATAAATAAAACTTAAGTCAATGTTAGGTACTCCATGATGAATCAGAAGTATTCTCAAAAGAATAGAAAATTTTTAAATTGTCAATAAGAGCTAAACATCCAATCAGTGTGGAGGAACTGTAAATTTGCAACATCTTTGAATTGTATTACTTTAAGAAAAAATATTTTGTGTTACATTTTTATAACTCCGCTACAAAATATATACAGAATAACAAAGAAATTATAAGAAAAAAAAATCTTTATCCCTGTGTACGTACAATTTTCGAATCCCTGTCTTTCTTTGTATAATAATATTGTACTAGTTTATAGAAAATATACTGACAGGTGGTGTTTAATATTTTGAAGTTTTCGACTCTCCTAACTTCCTTCTAACAGAATGAACAAATTTCAGGAAAACTGCATTTTGATACGATTATCGCAAGACAAGTCTATTTTGGACTTTAAAAGGGAAATTTGTTCAATCTACAACTACATTGCTCATTTATGCACAATACTATCTCATGTTTATACTTTATTCAGTTTTCTGTTTTACATTTAACTTTTGTTTATACTTGTAATTTCTCAGATCCGCGATCGGTTGTTTTCTAATGAGCGTTTTACCCCTCATAAGAGGCACCAGCTTGTCCGGAACGGTAATACGGTGATGCCTCGTCTGGTACGTTTCGCATAATGCGATCAACATGCGAGGTATCGCGCACGCAGTTCCATTTAGCGTGTGCACGTGTTTCGTATTCCCGTCTTTTGTCTTGTATCTAATATTGAGGCGCCTTGACTGATAATCCGTGCAGTTACTACAACTGGACAACTCGCCATACAACTTTCTTCCAGGCATCCAGCCTTCCATGTCGCATTTTCTAAAAGAAAAAAAGGGACAATTGCAATTTGTATAAGAAAATGTAAACAGGATCATATATCATGAATACAATTCGAGTGCGTTACCTATAAGCAGGTGAACCCAAGTCAAGTGGTGGCATATCCATTATGTGAAAGTGCAGTCCCAACGAGGAGAAAAGTTGCTCCTGTATGCTTTGAAGATCTTGGAACGCCTCCTCGGATTGGTTTGGCTCCGAACAAACAAACATTTCCACCTTCGTGAACTGATGAACTCTGTCCCAAACGTAACAAGTTGAGAATGAAATTGGTCCGAGAAACTTATAAAATTTACGTCGATGTTAATGACAACGTAATTTTTCACCTATAGATTCCTCTCTCGTCCAGAGCGCCCGAGCCCTCCGCACGGTAGCATCGACTGACAGCAGCCAGCCTCATCGGTAGCGTGTCATAGGAAAACGTAGCGTTCATCAGTTTGCTGGCCAACGACATCTCCGCGGTTCCAGACAAGCTGTAGTCGTCGCCGTAATGAGAGTCCAATTTGTATACCAAGGTACGACCGTCGTCTACTATCAAGCCACACCTCTCGATAACTTTAGTGGGGATGATGTCGGGTACCGACAACAACTTGAATCCGTGCTTCAGTAATCTTTGAAGCGTATACTGAATCAACGCCTCCTCCAATTCTGCCAGGTCTCCTAGCAGCATGTAGCTCCTTTGTCCGGCAACAGGGCCCAGCAAGTGCGTTCTTATCCCTTTCAAATTAGCAACCAGTTCGGCAAACTCTTGCGGCTCGAAGTCAAATTCCGGCTTCCTGCCGCACTCCTTCAGCAACCTCGGTTTGTCGTACTCCGTCACCGCGGGATGCGTACAGTTTGGTATCTTGCTTAATTCCCGCAGGAGCGACTCCCGCTTTTCGGGATTTCCAGAATACTCGAGGACTTTATCGATATCCCCGACACCCTTTCTTCTCTTGATATTGTTGAAGATAACGTCGCGGTTTGCGGGATCGCACAAAAAGTCGGTATTGTACTCCGGCTCCGGCAAAACTTGTCGTGCGCCGATCACATTTTTCTCCGGCGCTTCTGTCGGCTGTTACAAGTGTTGTTGTTATGCATTATTACTTTAAATATTACGCAAAGTATAGAAATTGCGACAAAATTACGAACGACGGGATATTACGTACCAATGTGTGTAGCCAGAAGTGCCGTGATCTACAGAATTGCTTGAAATTTTGTGGGAGACTAAATCGCATTTTGCATTCGAAGACAAATGCTCGCTAGTTCATATCATGTCAACAACACGTGTCCGGTAATGGCAATAAATTATGAAACAGTCGCTCAGCTTGGTAGTCTTGGTACCATCAACGACTCGCCTAAAAGGTTATGGCGCCTATAAAGCGTAAAGGCTACTTAAGATAAAATTTCTTTAAGGACATTTTCATCGTTGTATTAATTTATTTCATAACAATTTTTACGCTCGATATCCAAGCGTTTCGCTAGCTTTGCGCAAGCTGATGTAATCACATTCATTTAAAGCCAACGGCACACGACGGTTCTTTGCCCGCTGGACAGTGCCATGATGTTTAAAGGTCTGTTCGTATCGCAACATGCTCCATTCGCCTCGCATGCTCCTATTTGCTCCGACGACCAATACCGTCATTTTATTTACGACTTAGGCCCAGTTTTTCCTGACCCTTAAAGCCAATGTCCACGATGCTAGAACTTGGTCCAAGTTCTGATTTCGAGAAACGTGTAGCCAATCAACTTGCAGCTTTTATGGAATAGCTGCAACTTGATTGGCCACACGTTTCTCGAAACTAGAACTTTGACACAGCTCTTGGATCGTGGACACAAGGCTTTAATATAATGAAAATGTTAAAGACAGTTAAAAAGAGGTAAAGCTACTCACATTTACCATTTTCAATATAGTGTAAGATACAGAATTGACTCCCTGAGGCGTCGGAGTGCTCCCTTTTGCGTTCGAGTGAGCGAGAGAAAGATGAACAAGAGAGAGAGAGAGAGAGAGAAAGAAAAAAAGCGCTCCGACGCCTCAAATATGTAAAGCCGAACGCCAGTTATAGAAACAACGGATGTGCCATCGTTTGGATAAAGCTCGATTAGTCGATATTCTCCGTCGATATATACGCTTCGGCCTTCCGGTCGCGCGTGCGCACCGGGCACCGCGAAACTCCCGCGCGGACCTGGCGCATCACACCGCTCGCTCGCCTGGTGTAGAAGACAGGAGGGACGGAATCATCGGGACAATCGGCGTATCGACCGAGCACACGGGAGTATTGAACTGCGTCGCCCAGTGACGTGCGGCGCGTCGCCCGCCGATTCTCGCGGAACAGCGCGACAGGTACGTTCGGCGATCGATGAGCGACGGCAATCGATATCGGGCCGCTTCGGCACTCGCCGCCGCATTTCCACCGCGTCGCAATTCCGCGCGACGATAAACGCTCTTTCATCCATCACCCGCCCCCCTCCCTCTCCCCCTCCCCCTCCCCCGCCGCCGTCCCGGTCGGCCATATTGTTAGCCGTTGATAAATTCACGGGATTTTCGTACCGACTGGTGGAGCCGTGACTCTCGGCGTTGCGTAGCGCGTTTCGACCCGCTCCCATTCCGTTCCGTCCTGTCCCCCCCGGCACGGCGCGAAGAGACCGTCGTCGGGCGGGTAGTCGCGACCCGCGAGACGGCCGCGCCGACCGACGCACCTCGAGGCGCGCACGCACGGCGCGCGCGACCTTTGCGCCTCGGCTCTTTCCTCGCGCGTTGTTCCCGCCGACGTTTCGCGCTCGCGCCTCCCCGTGCCTCGCGCACTCGCGCCGAAGTACGACTTTGGCCCGCGAGCGAGGGTTCGTCGCGCGAGTATCCGTCGGCACGTAGGATGCGCGGCTTCTCCTTAGCATCGGTCAACAATTCCCCCTCGCCGGAGCGGAGTGTATACATGATAACGACGCGCCGACGGGCCCGCTGATTTTCGCGCCGGATTCGTTTAGTCCCGGCCACGTTAACCCTCTCGTCGCGGGCGCAATCGGGGCTGGAAAACTGCTACCGCGGGACGAGGCGGCCGCCAGTCCCTTATAGTCTCCGTAGGAATTGTTGCTTAAGTCAACGAACAAGTAGACGGCACCGAGGATTTGTCTCATTAGAGGATAGACCGTAATTGCGGGATTCGGTTTTCTTCAAAATTCACGGGCCGAGTGTCGAGAAGAAAAAAAATTCCCGTTGTAAGTAAAATTAAAATCAGATGAAAGGTAAACGAGATGTAAACAATTATGATGTGCGTGCGTAATGTAAAAAGAGTAGAAAACTAACACAGTGGCGCGCACAGATTTGTATCAGACCTGTAAAGATATGAATTCTTTGTACTATAAGTAATGTACACGAGGGGTGAACCGCTGAGGGCGCGTGGTGTGCAAGTTTGCGGCATTGCTAAGCATTTTTTGGGTGTTACTGCCCAGACAGTCAAATCTGATGCGTGTTGTCAGCGAAAGTACAACAAAATCTACTCACATAACTGGGCCTGCTCGGTGTACGTTTTACAGACTCCGGCTGCGATCAAGTTGTTGCTTCAAATGTTTCCAAGTGCTCTTCTTGCAGCGGAGATAGAGAAAAGGAAACACTTCGAAGCGTTTGTAGCTGCAGCTTGACCTCTGCAACCTCTGTTGCCAAGACGAAAGCCAAATGTGGACAGCTGTGGTTTTGATGTGGATCTCTGATGAATCTGACACCAACCCAGATAGCCAAGTCTGTCGGAATAGATTTTGTGAAATGCCCACTACAAATTTTGAAGGCAGAAAGACTGCAACAGGAACTGATGTATTCGAATAGAACAAAATCTGCTAGATTTCTGCCGATAATCTGTTGACATCGTATCTTTTACAGACTCCGTTGTCAAAACGAAAGTAAAATGCAGCCACAGATGGCTATGGTTTTGGTGTGGGTTTCTGACAGATCTAATGCCAATCTGCTAACATTTTGCTGACTGGGTGGGTGTTGTTTGGCCTTGCTGGGGTTTTATGAAGAATCTAGAAAGATAAAATAAGATAAAGTAATGCCCACTGGACATTAATAGGCATTGGTGTACACGATTTTGGTCAGTGGTTTACCTCTCGGTTATACAATAATATCGCGATACGTGTCTCGTATCATTTTTACAAAATACTGCACTGCCGTCGTTCATTTTTATATTATTGCTTCGGTGCTTGTTGCACAAAAATGTTCTTGGTAGTGATTAATTTGCCATGTCATTCGTTGAGTTGATCTTACGACACGGAATATCTTAGATTGTACGCTTGCTTTTCAGACACGATCTCTTTGGGAAAATGGAGCTGTCGTCTGAAATGCTGGAGAGCTTGGTCATGGATAACAAGGACATTATGGAGGTGTTGAAAGACGGAAATGTCAAGCAGAACATTATATTCGAATCTGAGGTGACCGAGGATTCCGAGGAGGCGGAAATAGAGGAGATCATAGAGATAATTGAGGAGGTTGAGGAGGAGGGTGACGAGACACCGCCAGATGGCGATATCTCGGATAAGGACAAGTCGGTGGATGCGGAGGACGTTGAAGTGATTGAGAAGACAAGGAGAAGTGACAAGGCGACCGAGAAGAACTTGGAGCTTTACAGCTTCGACGAGGAGAGCTCGATGTTTACGTCGCAGTTAGAAAAGGAGCCAGCCAAGAATGTCAAGAATAGCGCGCAGAAAATCGTTAAGAAACAAGTTATAAACTACGACGTCGACGAGGATTGGCAGGACGAGGAGCTGGAGCGCGCGGACGGGTCGGACAATAATTCCGAAATGACGGATAGTCGCGCGAGCTCTTTGCGGACGCAGACTGACAAGAAGCATGTAAATAATCAAACTGTCGCGCTGAAATCAACCAAAGTAGATTTAAAGATCCACCTGGATTCTGCGGGAAAAGCGGACAAGGCTCGAGTGGACGGGGCCGGGAACAAAGTAAATAACGTCGAGGAGGACGACAGCGAGTCGACTCAGGAGATAGTGAAGAATACGGAGAACAATTTGTTGTACACCGTGCTTGGAACAAAGAAGCAAGACTCTGCCACTAAGCAAGAAAAGCTCAGCGACCACTACGTTAGAGTTGGTATATTTGATCAAGGCTTGGATCGTGTAGTAGGCCATGCATTTTCCTATCCCCCCACTATCTTGTCCTGACCGTTGTCGAGTCACAGGAGAAGGATAAAAGCCCAATCTACAATGTGCTTTGCGTCTAGAAACATTCTATTTCAAGCAAGTCAAAATGCTTAAAAAAATTTGTCGATAACGCACGATTGTACAATGTATAATATACAATTTATCAACTTGCACAAATTTTTTAAGCTTATCGGCTACAAAATAGAATGTTTCTAGACGCAAAGAGCACATTGTAAATTAGGCCAGAGTCTCTTGGGTCTCTTGCAATGCAACAGAGAAGCCCAGCACTGGACCAGGCATGACTCTTCAGGCTATTCATTCTCTAGTCTTTTCATAACTCGGCAACACCCTCGATCATGAATGCATGGTCTGGTAGTATAAGGCCTAAGGATCAAAATATTATAAATTGTCTCTTAATATTATTAATGATCGCAATCACGTTATTTTAGATGGAAAGACTTGAGGCAAATACTGTACCGGTTGAAGGTACTATTTATTATGAAGGCGACAACATGGAGACGTTGTATGTAGCGCAAGCCATCGACGACAATGAACAGTATCAATACGATAACACGACGATGGAGCAGGACGAGCAAGTGTCTTGGGAGACAGCAAATCCTGAGGCTAATCAAAATCAAGAGGAGGACAGTTCTCAAGTATGCGATGTAATATTTACGCTTGAAATCTGTTGCGATATTACAAGTGGCCGAAGTGAATATATCGTCCTTTCTGCTTTTTTTCAGGATCAAATATTTTTGCACGAGGACGAGGACGGTCAATTGTACTTCAAGGATGCTAACGGCATTCTGCAACCGGTATATCTAACCGAGGACGGAAATTATGCGATTACGGGAAACAACGACGACACTACCGCCAATAAAGAAACTAAATCGCATCAAAACAGCAGCGGAATCGAAGAGGACACATTCATTTTACCCGATTTAGAACCGAAGTCGTCTTCTAATAAACAGGTACTTATTGTACATTAATTAATTATATATATATATATATATATGTATGTATGTATATGTGTGTGTGTGTGTGTGTGTGTGTGTGTGTGTGTGTGTGTGTGTGTGTGTGTGTGTGTGTATAAATAGATAAATTTGTTGAGAGTTGGAAAGTAACTCGTTACTTGTAACGAAGTCAGTTACAGTTACTTTTTTTGGTAACTCTAACTTACCTTCGTTACTTTCTCTTCATCTGCAAAGTAACGATTCGTTACTTTTTGAGTAACTGTAACTGTAACGCGTTACTTTTCAAAATTGATAACTGTAACTAGTTACATTTTTAACGAGAAAAAATTAACTGTAACTAGATACTTTTATAAAGTAACTTTCCCGGTCCTGAATTTGTTCTATTTATATTTATAATTTAACAGACAACTAGTAATGCGGTGTCGTCGTCGTCGTCGCTTCAAGATTTCGACAATGAGGACAATACAGTGACCATATCGTTGATAATATCGGAGGATGAGCATGGGCAAAAGAGAACTCAAGTCATTATACCAACGACAGACAGTCTGAAGTGCGACATTTGTAATAAAAGCTTCAAAACGTCTTTCCAGTTACTCAGGCACAACAGACTAAAGCACGCTCGTGAGGAGGATATAACCACGAGAAACTTCCCTTGCGATTCGTGTCCTAAAAGGCTAGTCGAGATATTTAGTTGATACACATACGTATGCTTCACATTACATAATCTTACGTTCTGTCTTTTACCGTCTATATTATTTTATTCAATAAAACTACCAATAATTGAAATTGTCTTGTGAAATTAAATGTTTATTTTTCACCAGGTATCCGGATCAGGGTTCGCTCGCCCGCCACCGGAAAACTCACACCGGCGATCGACCGTTCCAGTGCTTGGAATGCCACAAAAATTTCCCCACGTCCACGGCGCTGCGCCGTCACTTGACGCTACACAACTCTCAATCACGACCGCTGCCCTGCATTTACTGCGGTCGGCGGTTCATGGATAAGACTAGTCTAGCGAAGCACGAGGAGTCGCATATGCCTAACGAGCAACGCAAGTACACGTGCGATATATGTCAGAAGACCTTCCACCACATAACGGATCTTAGTATGCACAAGAAGCACCACGATCCTGACAAGAAGTTCGATTGCGAGGTGTGCGGTCGCGAGTTTAACAGGCTGAACAATCTGCAGAGACACATGCTGGTACATCAGCAAGTATGTATAACTGTTTTACTTTCTGTAATCCCTCCTCTCTTCTCCATAGTACATAAAAGTATATATCAGATTATGTGATTTAATATTTTCTTGTTTACGATCCTTTCATTTGGATTTGTGAATTCTTTTCTTTTCTCGCGTACAAGCAGCAGCAGGGCGGCAATGAGGAGATACTTTCCTGCGACGTGTGCGGAATCACGTACAAATTTATGAGCTCGTTAACGAGGCACATGGTGACCACGCATATGAATCCCGAGAAGCTGCGACAGCAGGCGGAGGAGCAGCGGAGAAAGCGCGAGAACAACTATCGGAAGTATCTAGAAAACCGAAAGATGTACGAAACTCAGAATTATGGTACAAAACGTACAAAATATAACTTACTCGCCGGAGATAACGACGAAACAGCCTGACTTAAATTTCCTTGTTTCCTGGCAGTTTCGTAGGAGCACAACAGTAAGATTGTAACTTCTGTGAGAATACTAATGAATGTTGGTAACATATTTGTATCATTGATAAGATAATATGCATTTAATTTAATAAGTATATCAGCAACATATTAACTGAGAAATACATGTAGGTGTCTTGATTAGTACATAATTATATTATTGATTATAAAATGATATATGATGTGACAATGTATCATAAGCCATAAACGACGTATACACATATGTGCACATACAATCGTGGTCATTGCGAGAGATTTATAGAGCTTTTGCTCACGGATATGTGCAGTGATGCATTATTAGAGCAAAGGAATGATATGTACGAATATCTGTGCAATGATACATACGAATATTCTGAAAAACTTATTGTAAAACGTTGGGCAACCTTTCTGACCATGACCGTACAGATATGTATGTAGAAAGGGAAAAAGAAAGGTATAGATTTCCTTAGTCTCGTGCATGCACCAAATGACTTGAAAATAAAATCGTCTGTACACCTTTTGACTCGTGCCTTAACCACTTACTCGTTCATTTGCACAAAGTCTCTAGTGCTTTGAAGTAGGCGTACTTGATATCGAATTCCATATCGTACCAATAATTGATGGCTATGCAAGCGTGAGACTGTCTCACATAATGGAACCATAGGGATGGCAGGTACAACACATCTCCAGCTCCAAGTGTGACTTTCAACCTATGTGTATTACGATACTCTGGAGACCTATGAGTAAATTTTTCGTTTAGCTTTAATCAGTCGAATAAATGTCATCTTGAAAATAAAGCTACTGTGTATGACTGAACTTTTCGTAGTTTGGATTCAAGGGATCCACACATATCCACGGCGTCGACGTGATTTTCTCCGAGTCGGCCGTTTCGTTACCTATCGAGTCGACGATCCATTTCCCAGGCTCGCGCTCCTTGTAAACGGCAGACGGATAATTTCGATATGGAATCCATGGCAGATCCGTGGGAGGATGTAGGATAAAGTTCTTTTCGCCGGATACGACGCAATATATATTTTCATAAGGATCTTTGTGCACTGTAAATTATAAAAGTACATAGTTTAATTTTACCGAATCTTTAGAATCGGAAGTATTACTGATCTTTAAAATTATTATGTAGCGCACTTATAAAGTCGCGCGGGCAAAAATATATTTTGCAAAGTTGGTAGAATTACGAGAAATGAGATTTAACGTAACGATGATTATCCGAGATATCGAAATATACTTTCAAGTTTATTTCTGTCAGGTAAAATGAAACTTTACTGGAAGTCACGGCTCTCGCGTCTCCCATCCAAAAGTTCACGGCGTCAGGCTGCTTTCCAAATGCTTTGCTGGCCCACGAGATCTCGGTTGCTGCGTCTGGCCACAGCTTGCGAAAGTTGCATATGAAATTCGAGTTTTGTTGCTGTATGTAAAACACACTGTCCTCCCTCGTGTTCTCCAGTCTGTCGAGAAACTCTGACATCGCGAGCAGACGTTCCTCGGGCATCACGAAGAACTCTTTACCATCATCCTGCTCAACTATCGCATCAGCATAGCCGTTCGGTGTTACAGCGACTGAAACCTTTTCGTCGCCGAGCACTTGGCGAAAATATGATACAGACCATTTGTTCACAGCGGGCCAATGTTTTACCCCACCTCTTATAACTAACGGTACGTTCTTCGAAACGTACTCTCGGTAGAAGGCGAGTGGCGTAATTGAGCAATCTATTTCCGCAACTTCGCTCTGCAAGTACAATTCTGCAAAATAAGAGAATCAATCAAATTAAAGTATTTAATTGAAAGAATTAATAAAACTAAGTAATAAAATTAGCGTATAATATAATACAATAATGGCAAAGAAATTCGTTACAATAGTGTTCCAATTGTTGAAAATTTTTGTGTATTGTAACGTACACAAAACTTTTCAATAATTGGAGCACAAGCAACAAAAACTCGAATTTCATACGTAGCTTTCGCAAGTTGTGGCTGGACGCAGAAATCGAGGTAAAAAAATTTAGCGAAGAATTAAGCAGGTGTTTTAATTCTTTAAGATTTCGTTGTTTCTCAAATTTTTAACACTAGTAAAGTTTTGTACTAATTTTACAAAATTGTACATTTTCATGAAATACTACTTGCAATAATTTCTTGATTTGAGAACATTGTAAGTTGTTTCCCTGTGACTTTATATCTGACAAGACATTTAGGTGTCGGTGCACAGAGTGTTACAACGATTTTTATTATTCTGATGGTTTTATATTCAATTTTTATGTACTACGACTTGTCTCTTATCTTTTGCTGCAACAATTGATAAGGTCAGCATAGTCTTACTTGATAAGGGCTAGTATTACTGGCCGAAACGTCGTAATCTATTAAATAAAGAGATTTGCCAGCCTAGGTCGTTTATATTAATTGAGTATTTGTTATCACTGGCGACTTACCATTTCTAATAATTTATTGTAAGTTGTGATACTATTTTATAGATATTTTTACAAAGAAGTAAATGTTTTAACGAAGATATAAAAATTTCTACAAATTTCTATTTCAAGTCAATTTTTTGTAGTTATTTATAGAAATTTTTTCCGCCGGGGGGCACAGGCAGTCCCGCGCCTTAAGTATATCGCACTCTCAACGCCACGTCTCTATTTTCTGACTTATCTCGGCAACGGCTCGACAACCACTTTATCGCCTCCAGCTATCGGCTATTGTACTTTGCCCTTACAAGATTTTGGTCAGCGGTTTCCCGCTCGGGTTACCCCCTAGATCAACACACAGTCCGCAACGCATCACTAAAAAAAACAAAAAAAAAATCTTAACGCCGGTAGATTTCTAGGCGTCGCGAGACAAAAGTCTATCGCTATTTTGTGTATCTGTTGGAAAATCGTTGCCGCGAGGTCAATTTTTTTTTAAATGAGTTTTCCTCGCCGACCGAGCGATTTCGGCTTTGGCCGTAACGTGTACATTAATATTCCCGTTTATCCTTTACAATCGACTCGAGGCCAATAATTCCATCGTCACGGATTACATTCCCGTTCGCGTGACGGCAGATTTGCGCCTCTCGTGGATTCGTTCAATTAGCAAACGAGAATCGCGCGACAATGCGATTATCGCGTACGCGCGCATACGCGACGCACGTGGGAGAGACGGACGGTCGTGAGGTTAGCTCGCGCATCCTCCCGGAAAAAAGCAGCGGAGCCAAACACCCGAGCGAACACCGAAACGAACCTCTTGCCTCTCGCGACAGGATGCGGCACGCCTCTCGGATCTTGTCCCCGGCACTCGACATCGCGCCCGAGATTAGGCCCGACGGGGACCGTCGCCGTGTTTGTTGACAAGTTGTCACCGATGACGACGGCAGCTGACAGCGCGCGCAGGTTAGGTGATCTAAATTGTGACACAACGCGAGCGAATATTGCGTACCAATCAATGCGTTCGGTTAATGGAACCTTGTCCGATTATTAGTCACGTGCTGCCGAAGGTCCCATTGTCCTTGCTGAAGCCCACGGAGCGAGAACGTGTTTCATGTGTAAATGTAAGTTCACCCTCCGCGCGACGAAGCGGCTCGAAAGTGCTCGCAGCTTTTAACGCGACCGCAATTGCACGCACATTTCAAATAACAATATGCATTATATAACGTAAAACAGTAGTGCGTTCGGTGCGTTTGGTTGGCGTTTTATCTCGCGCAATTTGCCGATACACTAATTATAGGAATTTGATCCTCACCGAATCGTTGCAGGTTAAATATGAATATACGATAGTGCAAAGTTGTGCTCGATTACGCAACGAGCCCTGTAGAAATTATTGAATTCCAGAGATACTTTATCAAGGATCGAAGATATTGTATCAGCGTGTAATAACGATATTATTGCAGATAGTGTGCGAAGCGGGAGAGATAATCTCGGTTCTCACAGTGAGCCTGGCGGCCAGTTCTTCGAGTTAAGCCCGTTTGCGATCAGTGGATTGCAGCTATGGACAAGGACATCGCGCTGCTGCAGATACGCTTGGAAAGGCCTCTCTACGAACACGAGACGCTGAACCAAAGTTATGATTACGAGAAGCCAAAATCGTCCTGTGAGTCGTGACAATGAGACACGGGCACCTCCACCAAGGTCCAGTTTCACAAACGTCGGTTAACTGTTGACCAGAGTTCAGTCCGACTTCCTATCTTTCTCTATCTTGTTATCCAAGAAGAGGATCAATTAACCATGGGTTAGCGGTTAAACGACGTTTGTGAAACTGGCCCTAAGAGCGTAGTGAGATTTTGTTGAAGTGTACTCGCGAAGATTTCCCTCAATTGACTCGTTTCGTTGATCATTTCGTCAATATCAGTAAAAATTCAGCAAATCATTTTCATTGAAAAGTGTGCATAGTTGAGTTTCAGTTAAATTCAGTGCATTTCGTGATTTGTAAAATATTTTGTAATTCCTTTTATTTTCGACAGTGTTTAACTTTCCTCGTGTTTTGCGCCACATTGAATTTTATGAGGAAGATTACGATTTACTGTTAAATCTTCGGTAATCCTTCAATAGCTTTCGTTATCATTTCAGCAAGACTTCAGTAGATTTTCCCTTCGAAGTATACATTTTTCAAGCTCTTTTCAAGTCTTCCAGCCGATTTTTCTGAAACCTACTGCTTGAGGGGTTTCTGGGTCGCTGATTCTGGTGTCAAAATTACAAAATTTAAATGCAGACTTTCAGGCACCACGTTGGATCCGCCAGTATGAATTTTGTTAATCTGACCTCACGTGTGTAACCAGCAACCTGAAAAGCTTCCGAGTACCGAGTTCCAGATAAATTAATTGCAGTTTTTGTAATTTTAGCTACATTGAATCCGCCATCTTTCGAATTTTGACTTCAGATTATAAATCAGTGATCTCAAAAATTCCCAGATACCTAGTTTCGCAATGTCGTTTATAGCAATAATTTTTTGACTACAGAATATCCTGTAGAAGACAAAATTTTTCACTTAAAACTTTGACTTCGAGCTGCTATATTGAGTCAATCGTCAATAACTTTAGAATTTCGACTTCAGATTCGGAATTAGCGAACCGTTGGTTTCTCAATTTTTGGGAGTTGTAGAGGAAAGACCTCTGTTATGAGATAGCAGGTCTTCAACACCCAAGTTGAATTACAAATCTTTTTTCGCAACGAGTACACAATAAATTTTCCACTAAACAGATTTCGCTCCAAGGGGCAATACATTCATGATGGAATCAACTGACGATGCCTGTTAATTTAACAGTAAATCCCGCTATCCCATCTAAGTACCATATCTCACAATATGGGACTCCTCTGTCGCACTGTGTTTCAAAGGGTTAAATTTCACAATTTGTCCAATCTCAATTATTTCATTACTTTCCAATAGCATCCGTTAACTTGCCTTGTATTTCTTCGTGCAGCATCTCAGTGAATTTCATAAGGAAACTTACGTTTCGTCTTGATCTGTCTGTTCCCAGTGATGCGGGATGTGATAAACAACGTTAAATCGAAGAATTGGCAGTCCTGCGTGGCGTCGATGATACCAGCAATACGATGGCTCAGCCGATACAATTGGAGGCAAGATACACTACCCGATATCATTTCAGGACTGACCGTGGCGATCATGCACATACCGCAAGGTATGGCCTACGCCCTCCTGGGAAATCTGCCGCCGGTGGTCGGCATCTACATGGCCTTCTTTCCCGTCTTCGTCTACTTCTTCCTCGGCACATCCAGGCACGTGTCCATAGGTGAGAGCACGGGGCGACGAGGCGAGGCGGTGCAACGATTTATAAGAATTGCGCTAAAGAATAACGTCGTACTAACAAAGAGATATATATATATTGTATATGCCTGCTGCGGTTTGCAATCCTTCCGGTTAATTCGTTTAATTGACTTCCGTTGCAGAACGATTAGAAATATATACACCTTAATATGAACTTATTCGACAACCTTGAACAATCAAACATTCTTGGCACTCATCAGGAACTTTCGCTGTGGTTTGCCTAATGACCGGCAAAGTAGTAACATTTTACTCGAACCCGCACGCGGGACACGCGTTCGCGAATGTCTCGGATGCCGTTTCGCAGGATCTCGAGGATGTCGCGCATGTGTATACGCCTATGCAGGTGGCGACGGCTGTGACGCTGATGGTCGGAATATTTCAGGTACGAAAGCGTCTCGTCTTAGTTTAAGAGAGCGCGTCTCTCTCTCTCTCGGCGACCAAAGGCTGGAAAGTGAAGAAAGTTTTCTTATCGTTGTAGATAATAATGTATACATTCCGATTAGGCATTGTGACAACATTGCTGAGCGAAACTTTAGTCAACAGCTTTACGACCGCGGCTGCCGTTTACGTTTTAGTATCGCAAATCAAGGATCTCCTTGGCCTTAGACTGCCAAAGCAAAAGGGTTACTTTAAACTGATCTTTGTAAGTAAATATGCATTATATTCTTCACATTGCGAATTGCTACCAAAAAAAGAAAAAACGGAAATTATTCTTTCCCCTTAATTTCAGACTGTTGTAGATGTATTTAGGGAACTGAAGAATACTAATATAGCTGCTGCAATAGTGTCAACTGTATCAATTGCTATTCTTGTTTTTAACAATGAATTTCTGAAGGTAAACAGCGTGTTTGGCATAAATGCCTCAATTGAGCGTTTGTAAGGGCTAAAAAGTATGATTTATATTTCATAGCCAAGAGTGAGCAAAAAATGCAGCATACCAATACCCATTGAACTTATTGCAGTGGTTGGTGGGACACTGGTCTCCCGTTATTGCGATTTACCAAAGATTTACAATATCGAAACCGTCGGGCATATTCCCACGGGGTACGTAAACAAATCGTTTTATCGTCCTACGTAAAGTATAAATTAACAGGTTGTAAGAACTAACACAGGTTATCGGGTGTGAGATATATACAGGGAGCACCGAAGCCACCGGATATCCTTTTGATCACAGATTTTTTAGAAAATTTCAAGACGAAATCTCAGACTCCTATTATCTGTGAAATATAATCGCTTATTATTTAAAAACTATTATAGCTTCAACATTTTTGTATTAGAATTTTCGTCTTGAAATTTTCTAAAGGATTTACGATCAAAAGGCTATTCGGCGGTTTTAGTACGCTCTGCGTACAAGTTTCAAGTATAAATCTATATTTAAACGTCAGACGTTTCGAGATCCACTAATGCGAGCCTTTTTAATGACATGTGACAAATTGATGTCCTACCTAAATTTGTGAAACTTCTGTCTACTCGTAAAATGTAAATCCTATCAAAACATATCTTTTAAATAGACTTCCTAAGCCAGAGGTGCCAAGCTTCGAATTATTACCGTTGGTGTTGGTCGACAGTATTGCGATAACCATGGTTTCGTATACCATCACTATATCAATGGCGTTGATATTTGCGCAAAAGCTCAGCTACGATATAGATTCAAATCAGGAACTTCTTGCAATGGTGAGACACCATCCTGACAGTTGTCGTATCGATTCTCCACGAATTATTCTAATTGCAGGGATTTAGTAACGTAATGGGTTCCTTCTTTTCGTGCATGCCAATATCGGCTTCCTTGAGTAGATCTCTCATTCAGCAAACCGTTGGGGGACGCACGCAGATAGCGAGCATCGTGTCCTGCTTATTATTGCTCATCATACTGTTGTGGATCGGACCATTTTTTGAGCTTCTACCGAGATGTGTCTTGGCCTCCATAATAGTTGTACGTGTAAAAATATATCCCAAGGAAAATGTCGTGTAGCTAGTGAAGAAGCACACAATTTCTACAGATCTTTCACTACAGGTAGCGCTAAAAGGGATGCTTCAACAAGCCAGTCAGCTTGTTAAATTTTGGAAACTGAGCAAGGCCGACGCTATAATTTGGATCGTGACCTTCCTCGTTGTGATACTGATAAATATCGACATTGGATTACTCGCGGGACTGCTCGTGTCACTAGTTATAATTCTACTGCAAGTCATTCGGCCCTACACGTGTTTGCTGGGCCACATACCACATACAGACCTGTACCTGGACATGGGTAGATACAAAGCGGTAAGGTTTATCAAAGTGAAATATCGGAGAATGCGAGCTATCGAGCTATCGGCTTTTATATTGATCCTCGTTTCAGGCGGTGGAGATACATGGGATAAAAATATTTCATTACTGCGGGACTTTGAATTTCGCCAATAACAGCTACTTCAAATCTATCGTATACAGACTCGTAGGAGTGTGTCCACGAAAAGTCATCAAATACAGGAACAAATTGACCGAGGAGGGTCATTTCTTGGAGAACTTGGCGAACTCGAAAGGGACGTGCAAATTACAGTGCATAATCATGGATATGAGCGCGTTGAGTTACATCGATCCCAGTAGCGTTCAAGTATTGCACGTAATCGTGGATGAATTCACACAGGTGAATGTCGAGTTTTACTTCGTCAATTGTCCGAGTCCTATTTTTGAAACTATCAAAAAATGCGATCTATATGTCTATGGGACGATGCCATTGAAAATTTTTGCAACTATACAAGATGCCATCGTTTATTTTCAAAATGAGATTACCTCAAGATAATAAAAAATTATTCTCTATTATATCGCGTAAAGAAGAGATACATGTGTATGTGTATTTTTGTTATAACTATTAATGTGTGATGAAGGAATGAATATGCTTTCACACCATTGTTTTTCTCGATATTACGTTTTCGCAAGATACTTGCATATATTTTGTTCGTGAAAATCAGAGTCACAAACGTGAGAATTATAGTTCTTGCTTAATTCTTTTTACAATGCAGCACAAGATGCATTGCGTTACGCAATTGATGCAAACTGCATTGGAAGAGAAATGATATAAATGTACTTTGCAGTAAATAGTTCCATCCAATACTGTACTTAAAAGAAATAATAATTTATAAAAAATTCTTTTTATCTGCCCTCACATTGATTTAATATTATATATTGGTAACATGTTCGAAAATTCTACAGTTATTTATTAACCACCGAATCGAAAAGAGCTTCCGGTATATTTTACATATCTATTGAACATGGGTATGTAATATTAATTAATTTTTGATATATATGTGTGTATGTGCGTGCGTGCGTGTATATGTATATACAGGGTGTTAAAAAAAGATAGGAACCCCTGAATAACTTCAAAAATATGCAAGATAGAGAAAAAAAGTTTCCTACAAAAGTTGTAGGACGCATAAAACTATGTAATGCATTAAAGCCCTACAACTTTTGTAGGAAACATTTTTCCTATCTTGTATATTTTCGAAGTTATTTGGGGGTTTCGGTCTTTTTTTAACACACACATTACACGAAGTAAAAAAATTCACACTAGTTTTTGACATCGTAGTTCAATATAATTGCAATAAGAGAGCGGAAGCATCGATATATCTTGTAAAATGTGTTAAATTGTTAATCATTGTTATATCTTGGAAAGAGGAGAAATATAAAGCAATATAGCATATGCTTGAGTAATCGGCCTGTTTATTTACAGCGATCACCCTATGTACAATGTGACAGCTTGCGGTTACTCTGGGTAATCCTATAGCTGTTACGAATTAAATTTACTGTGCTTCTGATAGTTAAAGAGCCAGCATAATTAGCATCCTATATCTCCTATTTGTAAGACACAATTGTTTTTCTCTAATCTTGCGGCAGTGTTGCCCGTTGACGCTGTTGTATGTATATAATGTTGCAGAATAAATATTCCAAAATAAAATAGGACACATCGTTCAACAATGCACGATATGAAAAGATCTGAAATTGAAATTGCTTTTATACGCTTCTTTATCTAAATCCATGATCGAGCAGGACGATCCGGTCAGCGACGTGAACGCATCCGTCATACAACTACACTTATGCCACGCCGTACTTCTTCTTGAGAGATTCCGGCATCTCGGGCGGTGGCGGACGTGGCATGCGCAGCCAGACCTTGACGGCGTCGTAGATGAACCACTGTGCCGCAGTCAAGGTACCGATCATGACAATCCTCGGTCCCAGGCCCTTCCACACGCCGCCCATGCCGAGCTTCTTCAGGACTTCGCCCGCGCTTGATCCCTTCTCTTGATTCAACTTTGACACCACCTGGCCAGACATTTATATTATAAAGATTCAAAATATTCAGAATTTTTTAACTATCTTTAGATTACGAAAAATCGATTGTATATCCAGGGTTTCTATTCCGTACTCTGCTACTATCGATATCATAACAGCTTTTTTACATGAAAGTAAAAGTTTTTAATAATTAAAATAAAATAAAATAAAATTTCTTGAAATAATATTATTTGAAACTAACATTTTGTGATTTATGCGATAGAAAGAGAACACAATATAAAAAATGTCCAGCAAATTTTTTCAATGCACGTTTTTCATGACCTTTACGTTTCTAGAAAGACTAAGATAAATTTTTTAAGAGAATAGTAGAACAAATTTTTTTCCTTGTAGCCGAAGATTTGATTTTTGAAACAAAATGGTCGTCATCTCGACACACTATTTCCAAAGAAAGTTATAAATTTTCAAGGTACATGCCATGAAACATATGTATACGCATATGAGTACATGAGAAAAGTTGATCGATAGCTGGAGTTTAAATCTTCATTTTCGTTGCCCTGTTATTTTTCTACGAATGCGTGGAGATTTCATATAAAATTTACCGTGTCGGCAGGATGAGACACAATGGCGCAAAATACACCGGCGATGTATCCGGCCGCAAACGTGACCACCAGTTGCTCAGATTTACTGCACTCTGCTCTAGGCCTGGGGACTACGTGTTTGTACAGAAGCTCGACGGTGCGCTCGAAACAAGCGAATTTCATCATCGTATATGGGATCTGACGCAGCCACAGCGGCACTAAACCCTTGTAGAAACCGCTAAGACCCTCGTCCGCATACATCTTTGGCATCGCTTGTCGTAAAGTATTGGCGTACCCTGGCATAGTCTGGATTTTGACCTGTGATATAAAGATAAGCTCAAGATACAAACTTTTCATTAGTTAATATTATCGATTTCATTATCGTGACTGATGAAGGCTCAGTGAAACTCGAAACGTCCCGCAAATTATTACAGATATCAATACATTGGAATTACACTGTTTAAATCTATATTTCTGTTTGTTTATTGACGTATGAATGAGGGCCGTGTTCGCTTCGCATTCACCGACCTCCACGACAACTTGTCGTTCAGGCAGGGTAATGTGAGAAACTTGTTTATTTACTAGAGGGGTTTCAGAGGTGTGGCCACTCTGCATTCATACGATGGTCTACCAAATCATTGAGTGAGATGCCATGTATCGCTCTGGAGTCGCGCTGCTAGCATATTATTTCTATTTTATTCAGTAAAATTAAGTCAACAAGTAGGAAGAGAATTCCTGGCAAGCGAAAGGTCCCGGTTCGAATCCTGGTCTAGCTTTAGCCCGTTATTTTTCTCGCCGAAAAACTAACAAGTGGCGCATCTTAGTGCCTACCTCCTCGACGATGCAGCACCTCTATTCGTTACTTCCACTTTGTGTTAGAAATTTATATTATTGAGTTTGACCGTATCGTCATAAAAATAAGTTTGCCGCATGGAACGGCGTCCGAGACGAAAATTGGGATGTCGCGATGATATAAAAACGTTGACGACCGATTACCTTGGCGGCTTCAAACGGCGCCAGGCCGATATCCGCGAAGAATTCTGCCGAAGCCGACGATATCAAGTACAAACTGGTTCTATATTCGTAAGAGAGCTCCTCGCCAGCCAGCGCCGAATAGTAAACCTTGAAGACCTCATAAAGACCAAATTTGAACATTCCCTGGATCGAGTAGCCGAAGAAAGTAGGCGCCCAGCCTCTCACCAATCCTCGAGTGCCATCCTCGGCCAAAGTTACCTGGAACGAGCGAATGAATATTATTACATCTGTCGTGCGATGTTATATTATTGTATTTAGGGATATTTATGAAAGCAAGGGGGTGAATAATTCAGCACGAATATATTTACTCGGAATCCGCTGAACACCGATTTGTATTTCTGCGGGTCCACTTGAATTCGGCATTTGACTAGATCTAAGGGCGTGATGCCGGTATGAGTGAGGCCGCAGGACAGAATGCCTCCGAGACCGCATAGGAGGAAATAGTGATTCGACCCAAACTCGCAGCTGTCTGTGAATACAACGAAGCAACATGAATAGACGTAGCATATGATACACCTCCAGCATCAACAAGACGCGTTAGAAATTGACGATGTAAAAATTTGTAATCTCAAACTGGCAGTCATGCCAGAAGAGATCACACCTTGCGGATGTTTTCATTTTATATTGCAAAGGATGAAGTTCTGAATAATTTTTACTTCGCAACCTTCGCAACTGTATGTGGGGGGGAGGGGGGTGTCGCGTGTAGTTTCTGAGATACAGATCGCAAATAACATATCGCTATCTAGTGGTGCTTCTCCAGTTTCTTGGAAAACGTCAATCTGTGACTCTTATCTTCAAGAGCGGCGACAAGACTCTAGTCTCAAATTACAAACCTATCTGTAAGCAAGATGTTATGACAAAAATATTTGATAACACAGTTACTACGAAACTAACGTCACTGCAATAGCGCTCATCTTTGTTACTGTAACGTATAAATTTATATTGTACTAAAGAAACAAATCCCGTGGACACAGGCCTTTACAGCCTCGACATTTTCGTATTAGAATTTTCGTCTTGAAATCATCCGAAGTACTTGTCTCCCTTAATCTAACGGGCGTTAAGCCCAATGTCCACGATGTTAAGGCCTGTGTCCACGATGCTAGGACTTGGTCCAAGTTCTAGTTTCGAGAAATGTGTAGCCAATCGACTTGCAGCTTTTATGGAATAGCTGCAACTTGATTGGCTACACATTTCTTGAAACTAGAACTTGGTCCAAGTTCTAGTTTCGAGAAATGTGTAGCCAATTAACTCGCAGCTATTCCATAAAAGCTACAAGTTCATTGGCTACACATTTCTCGGAACTAGAACTTGGACCAAGTTCTAGCATCGTGGACACAGGCCTTTAGAACTTGGTCCAAGTTCTAGCATCGTGGACATTGGCCTTTACAATAGAAATGGACACGAGAGGCTTCTCTCGATCAGCTGATCGATCCCGAGCGCTCTTTTGGCGCGGATCTGACGTTCGACCGGACTCGTCCCCCCCTCCCCCCCCCCTCGTTCGCTCGATCTATAAAAGAATTAAGTGCATCCCGCGCATTTCTCGGTCACGGTCAGCGTACACAGTGAATGACACGACCGAGCGGATTATTCCTGCTCGGCCGTCGTCCAAGGGCGAAGCTGTGGGAGGCACGTTTTTATAACGCGCCGATATAAAATATACACATATGTATATATACATTTTGACAAAATGGCCGCGCCTTATGCAATCCACGGCGCGTGCACGGCCTTTAAATCCGAGGCTCGAGAATCGACCCGCGGCTCGCGCGAAACCGTTAGATCCGCACTTCGTCACGCGGGAGGATTCTCTGCAATTTGTAATGTTCCTTTTAACGCGCGTACGCGCACACGCGACGCCCTCAGAACCTCAGTTTTGACTTAGCGCTCGAAGCTTTGCGGTTATATAATATAATTTATAATATGCTGTAATCGCGGGAATCGTACGCCGCTGTTCCTCAAGAACGACTTCGGGCATCGATTAATTTAGCCAACGTTTAAGAGTCACTCGGTGGTAGTCCGTCAAACCTATAGAGGAAGGTGCTCTATTGCGAAATAGGCTTCCAAATCTAAATTCAATCTTTTTTTTTCGTAACAATTGCACGACCTAACGATCAATTTTCCACTGAACAGATTTCACTCCAAGGGCAAGTTTACGGCAATAAAAAAATTACGGAACCAGCAGATAATCTCCATTAATTCAGCGGAAACTCCGCTGTCTTATATTAGGTGCCTGTCTCGTAATAGAGGACTTTCAGCTAACATTTCGTTAACAGACAACGACGAGTATTAAGGAGGACGAACAATGAGTGAAAATTCTACTTTGATTCTGTTTAATCGAGTTAATTATTTTGTTCGAGGCCGCTTCGGTATTATTTAACTTGGAGCCCTTGAGAAAATCGAGAGTATCGAGCGGCCTTCGAACTCGGGGATTCTTGGCAAGACGGAACGACTTTCGTTCACCTCGCGTGACGCTCAATCACATTTCGGGTTATGTAATACAGCTGTCAGATGGTTAAAAAATGGCGTGCGGATCACGCATAAACTTCTCCGTGCGAACGGCAAGGACGGAAAAATCCCCGAGGTATCAACGGGTATTACCGGATATATGCGAGGAGCGAGATCCGCGGCATCGAGGTCGCGCGTGAAAGACGTGAAGTCGCGCGCAAGCCGTATAACCTCTCGGTCGGGGGGGGGGGGGGGGTGGAAGAGCCGCTCGATCCACTGGTCTTACTTATCGCACTAACAATAAAATCGGATCTGGAATGAGAGAGTTTACTGACCACCCTCCTCGACGGAGGCGGCAACGATGTTGCGACTCGGCACGAGCGGACGGGCGTCGTTCTCCAGCGCCTGGCACTTGACCGTTGTGAACGGCGACGAGAACGGATTCATTTTCGCTGCCTCCTGCATCCAGGACAACATCGTGGCGTTCCCGCGGCTCTCGCGTTCGCACCTGGGCAAGAGCATTCCGTTGCAATTGGATTATTCGAGTCGGATCGCGAGCGAGAATTTTGCTTCTAATTTTTTTTTTCTTTCTTTTCGTCGGTACTACATGCAAAGTCTCGATACGGCACCTGCTATGACAGACGACCCTCGTCACCCGGAAACCCGCGGAAGAGTGACAGAGGTAGACAGTGGCTGCCGCGGGGAAGCCTCTCGCAACTAATGCAATAGCGGATGCAGAGCCATAAAGGCGGGAACACAATGACCGCATTCAGCGCGCTCAAAGCTGAATCCTGATTGGCTCTCGTAAAGGCCTTATGAATGCTGAGTGGTGCAATGATAGTAATTTACTAAATTACTAGGAATCCTGAGTGTTGAATGGTGCAACGATAGTAATTTATTAAGCCCGCTGCAGACGATGCTATTTTTCCTGCTGGATTGCTTGCGATTTACTAAATTACTAGGAATCCTGAGTGCTGAATGGTGCAACGATAGTAATTTATTAGGGGCAACTTTCACCAAGCTCCGGTTAACCCAACCAGTCTAGTAACATGCAGGATTGCAACCGAATCTGATATATTTTCTCAGATTCTCATCAGATTTCTCATCAGATTCGGTTGCAATCCTGCATGTTACTTGACCGGTTGGGTTAACCGGAGCTTGGTGAAAGTTGCCCTAGATTGGCTACGTTCGGCAGAAAAAGCTGCTTTGCAACTGTTGTAAAATTCATGAATCTGATTGGCGTATGCTCTTAAATTCACACAAGATTGAGAGAACACACCAATCAGATTCACGAATTTTACAACAGTTGCAAAGCAGCTTTTCCTGCCGAACGCAGCCAAAGCATCGTCTGCAGCGGGCTTTAAGCCCAATGTCCACGATGCTAGAACTTGG